CTCAGAAGTGGCCAGTTTGTAGTACAAATGTAGTACGGGAAAGAGCTTTTCGGAGCTGGGCTCAGAAGTGGCCAGTTTGTAGTACAAATGTAGTACGGGAAAGAGCTTTTTGGAGCTGGACTCAGAAGTGGCCAGTTTGTAGTACAAATGTAGTACGGGAAACAGCGTTGCGGAGCTGGGCTCATAAGTTTTGCTTTTAGTCTGTGACAGACAGTGTGGCGAAGTTACGTCCGTGATGTCCCTGCGCCATGCGGATTTGCGCGGCCTTGGTGGAAGGTGCGTTTGCGCGGCGCCGTGCCACTGGGAGCGCGAAACATGCCAAGACAAAAGCGCAAAACTGATGATCAAGCCAAAGTGAAATCGGCGGTCTCTTTTCTGTCCTCCTCTCGAGGATCGGCACAGGCCTCAAAGTCGTGAGGCGAAGTAGCCACCTATGGCGGCGCAGGAAGTGGCGCCGTAGCCGGTAGGGCCTCTCACAAAGGCTCGGGGAAAAGGGGTCCCTTCGGACACAAACCTGGCTCAACGGCGTGCGAAAGTGAATCAAAGGTGAAAGCATGTGCTCGGACACGCCCCAAAGATTCTTCACTGTAGAAGGCCGTTGCAGCCGAATTCAGCAAGTCACGCCAAGACTTATTTTCATCAAGTTCTCCGGAATCGTGTACGTCAGGTTCCGGAGCAAGTAGCTTCTTTTTCTTCTTGGCGGACAGGAACTGAGGGTCATACTTCAACTTGCTGCCCTTGCAAAAACCGGGTCATCATCTCAGCTGCAGCTGCTTTGGTCAGGCTGTCAGCAAGTTGAACATCAGATGCAACCCACAAAACTTCAGTCTTTTGCTTGGTCAAATGCTCAGAGACGGCAATGAGCTCTAAGGACGTGTACTTGTCTTTCATGGAGTAGCCAGCCACTGATGGCATCGCCTTTACGCAGGCAATCGTAGATGGGCTTCGCGTCGATCACGACAGCGGCTGGCGCCAAGCAATTTGTCGTTTCTGGACGCAACAAATCAAGCGTGCATCCATTCAACTCGGACCACTCAGCCCTCACATACATCAGTTCGGCTTCACCTTCTGCTAAGCTTTGAACCTCGGCAGACAAAGAGCTTCTGGCGACTCGCGCCAGTTTGTGTGACCGCCAGCTCACGGGGTTGAAGAAACCGCGAGTTCCACCAATGAAGGACTTGTGGACCATTCCGACGATGTGTCCTCCTGCGCTCGACAAGTCTGGCCTGTTCCCTACGGCAGCATCAGTAAAACAAACAAAGCCAATTTCTCTCCAGTTCTTCGCGCCCAGCTGTCAGCGCTGGCGATGCATCTCACGGCAAAGCTTGTTCACTTGATGCAAAACATCTCTTCCTCCACGTGGCAAGGTGCTTTGGAGCATTGACACCTTGGCTGAGTGTTGTGGCCCAGATTCGAGAGCTCTCCATTGCATGGCTCCCAACAAAGCACGGGCCTGGGTCCTCTGAGGCGGTCACAGTCTCTGAGGAGGTGTCAATGGTGACTTGCATCAACTCTTCACAAAACTCATGGTGTGAAAGTTGAAAACTCCAATCTGCCTCTTCAGAAATGCCAACGCGACAGTGGGTAAAGGGGGTGTCCTCCCAGGGCGTCCAGGAGTAGGACTTTTGGAAGGAGTCAAGCACATTCTGCCAATTCGGCGAGGACGAGCATCCTGAAATGACAAAATCATCCACATGGCTCCCAATGAAGCCAAGCGTCTCCTTGGCGGTAGAGTGTTAGCAGATCCAGACGCAGGGGTCTGTAGTGAGGCGCTTCATCTTCAGGCGCTCCGTGATGGTCTCATTGACCTCAGCATACCAATCACGGGGTGCACTGACTAAGCCGTAGGCGCTCTTCAGCATGCGAGCGATTTCACCTGGTCCACAACCAAAACGTTCACTGAGCTCCTTGACAGGCTGTATGAAAATGTCTCGGCTCTTCTGACCATCTTTGCCTTGCAAAAATGCGGACTTTGCGTCCGCTTTGCAGAGCTGCCAGTGATTCATCGAGGCCATACCAAGGAGAAGTTGTCTGTTGCGCTTGCTCATTGACGTACTCAAGCTTTCTAGATCTGGATTAGTAGATCCCAGTAGCACTATTCGCGCCTTGCGTTTCACCACTGAAAGATCACCATCCACGGCCTTCAGCACTAAGACCCATCGAGTGCGCATCAGGCGCGAAGCTGGAATCGCACCTGCAAAGCGTTCACACGCTTTCTGAGACAGCCACTGGTTGACCTCGACAAGTTTCGCTTCTTGCATAGCTTCTCTCTGCTCCTTGGAAAGCTTTTTCCACGCCACCTCCGCACCTTTTTGAACGGACTTGGCAACAAACTTGTTGGGGTTCTTCAGGATCTTCTTCCATTCCTGCTCGTTTGCTGGAATGGGAATGGTGACGCTCAGGATCACGTCATGGTCCTCAGAATCCATCCACAAGGCCACATTA